TCTTAAAATGGCCATCATTCAGCTATTGTTAAGCGGATCATGAAACAAATGCACATATCTATTTGTGACATGATGCACCTTGTGTGTGTGAAGTTTGAACTTGATCAATCCAGACATGTCTTGGATACGGATCCAGAACTGAATTCTTTAAGAAAATGGCCGCCAGTCGGCCATTTCGAACTTGATCCGGAAAAAAAAATGACGTGCATCAAGGTCCTATTATGTTTAATGTAAGTACCAAATTTGAATGAAATCCGTCCATGCACAACTGAGATCCGGGTTCGGAATGGTGAAAATGTGCGATTTCAATGCATTTTCGGCCTTAAAGCGGCCGCCATTTGGCTATCGTTAATGGGATCATGAAACAAATGCACATACATATTTGTGACATGATGTACCTTGTGTGTGTGAAGTTTGAACTTGATCAATCCAGACATGTCTCGGATACGGATCCAGAACTGAATTCTTTAAAACAAAATGGCCGCCAGTCGGCCATTTCGAACTTGATCCGAAAAAAAAATGACGTGCATCAAGGTCCTATTATGTTTAATGTATGTACCAAATTTGAACGAAATCCGTCCATGCATAACTGAGATCCGGGTCTAGAATGGTGAAAATGTGCGATTTTGATGCATTTTCGGCCTTAAAATGGCCGCTATTTGGCTATCGTTAATCGGATCATGAAAAAAATGCATGTGCATATGTCCCATATAATGTGTGATGTATGAGTGAAGTTTGAACATAATCGGTCCATGCATGTTCGAGATACAGGTGATCACGGACGGACGGACGGACGGACGCACACAGGGCAAAACATAAAGTCCCCGTTTTCGGACTCCGTCCGAACGGGGACTAACAATATCCAACAAAACTAGGGAGTTTACTTACTTTGCTACTGACCCCTTAGCATTTGTGCTTTTAGTCTTTTTTGTCAAGTGATTGTCTTCTACCCATCTTACACCGTCAATGATGGCACTGCACACAAGAATAAACGATACAAATAATAAAACATACCATGTTGATAAACATTGATTTTCCCACAATCCAATGCGCTCTTCTAATGGAAATCACAAATATGAGGTTTGACCTGGGCGCGACTTGCACTAATTACCACTAGTGACTCCCTCGATACCTTGGTTGATCAAAGTTGTCATCATTGTTCATACGAGAACCAAATATTTCATGTGATGACTACCGACCATTAGAGGTAATTCTGAGATCAATTCAATTAAATTCGTTTATTTAAAGTCAGTTTGAAATACCTAGCCAAAGGCTAATATCACTGACTAAATAGAAAATGCAAATGCAAATGAAAGATACATAAATAACTTCAAAGCTCTAAAAACCATGTACATGCGATAGCATGTGAAACTTTCCACTTGCAATTGTGATAAATATAAATTGACTCTTAAACTAGCATACGCTGATTACAGATACAACAAGCAGTGACATAAATATACAACTGATTTTAGTCTTGATGATACATTTGTATATGTAAAATTGTCTCAATTGATATAATTTAATCTTCTGGGTTCATGAGGAGATGGCAGTCATTTTCTTGCCTCTTTCGGGTAAATTTGAAAAATTATTTTTTTCATGCTCATGCATTTGAAACCAAAATACCAAAGGCAAACTTAGGTCCTTCCTTGTAAACACAGTAAACCCAGGTATATCATCTATCGTCTTAACCATGCCTTGAATAATTGAAAACATGCTCTCAAACAATTACAATGATTTTTCAGGTACCGTAAAATCTGTATTAGAAGCCGCACCCATTCTTTTTGAACAATTGAGACCTAAAAATTCATCATTTCTCATAATTGATGAGCTTGATATATGACTTGTGATACCACAATAAATACAAGTTCTGTTAATTCGTATCCTACATGTGATATCAAGATGGATGATGTATTTTTTGTGAGTCAATGCTACAGTACTTACTCTGTTGATCCAGCTCCATCTCTGTTTAACACTTTCACAGCAATCAGATTTACATCTTTAGCAATTCCATACATGGCGCCACCAATGGTGCCTTGGGGAAAAAAATAAACAAATGTGACAAAACTGCATGTACAATATTCTTATTTTCATATTTATATAGATAATCAAAGAATAGTTTATAAGTATCATTATTATTATAACAATAAATAGTGTAGTACTACAAAAAACAGAATCAACCTCTCTGTCTTCATGCTCTGTAGACATACCCCCACTTTGCTTATCACATTTGCTTGCATAAATCCCCCAGCCTTACCTTAGTTCATCAACACAGTCAGGCGACCCAGTCAATCAGGTTAGCGTACAGAGGAGACGACGCTCTCACAAAATGATAAATTTTGATATTGAAATCAGTTGTTGACCATTTTATTTGATGCAGATTTTAGTATTAAATAGTTGTTACCTAACAGTTTCTTTTTTTAAGTGGTTTCTACTCAATAATCCAACCTCCATATAAAAACTACCTCTCTATAAAAGACCTTTTTAATGAAGTCTCATGGGTTGTCACTATACACAGGTTAGACTGTACAATACTTCACCTACCTGCTACGTGTGTTCCATGTCCATTTTCGTCTGTCTCAGGAGATGGCACATCAATGGTGTCAATGCCCTAAACACAAATGAACACTAATGGTCATATAAGAATTCAAAACAACTATCAGTCCACACAGAAAAGAGCAGATTCTGCTCCAGAAACTTTTCCTGGTAGGTAGGTAGGTACCCAATTTTTTTTTTAATATTGATTTCTATGCAAATTAGCTATGGTCATTCCACCAACGATGTATTTATTTTTCCATTTTAAGTACTTCCTTCTAATGTAGGGAAGCGTTTACTTGTATTTAATGGAAATGTATTTTGAAAACTAATTTTCATAAGATAATTTTTCATACCAGTAGTTAAACCTAGAAGTACAAATCTCTGCCAACCTACTTGCCATTTAATGAATCAGTTCTAATTATAAAACAATATAAAAATGGTAGGATGGATTCATTTGTAATTACCGGTACAGTTTTGAATGTATTTTTCTGTAAAATAGTTGCTAATTTTTAATCAAATAATTCACCACAAACAGTTCCAGATGAAAATTTTCAAAAAATATTGATAGCTTGGGTTCATTTTGTGAATAGTGATAAAAACTAACTTTCTTTTCGACCTACGAATATGTAATTTCTGTAATTCTTTATATAAAACAGTATCTATGGAAACAAAAAATTTCATTGATTGAATTTATATGTTTGTAATATCTTACCCATGTTGCTCTTCCTTGAAAGTCGGTATGTTCCAAATAGATTCCACTAACAAAAAAACAAAAAAAAATGGAAAAATATCATATCCATATATGGAATCATTTAAACACAAGTACACGTCATTTAAACACAAGTACACGTCATTTAAACACAAGTACACGTCATTTAGCATTCTCACGTACAAATGTAATGTACAGCTTTTGATCCATCCACAATCGAGTAGTGTATTTATCATGCTCGTGTCGCACATTTTGATTATGCATTTTACCACATCAGTCTGGGTCCTGAAAACTTTTTACTGGATTATTTGTTTAAAGACATGGTTGCAGAGACGTAGGCAATCCTAAAAGTCAGGTCGTCTTGTTTGTGGTTTCCCATAGTGAGGTTATGTCGCCATTATGGTGGTTAAAATGTGCGATGCAAGCGTGATGAATAAAATATGGTACTTGAATGTGTGGCGCAATAGTTATAAATGTACGACACCTTCATGTGATAAATGAGTGGTGTGAATGAAAAACGAAATTAATCACAAGTTGTGCAAATGCTGTACTGTATCAACATTATATTTCTCACACACATGTACATGTCATCTGTGCTGTTATACCAAGACATCTGTTGAAAATGCTGACCTGCGCTAGATTTCTTCAATATTTATTTGAACACTAAGAACCACAGATTTGACCTTATATACAAATATACCTTTGACCTTAAAGTGTAAGTATTGGGATTACGATAGGAACATGTGTGCCAAATTCGGTAGCTTTATTGTGAACATGCATATACTGACACTTTTGAGCTTTAGTCCCTAAAAATTGACATATTATGTGGGTTACATAGGAAACCTGTGTGCCAAGTTTAAAGTTCCTAGCTATTAAACCTTGTAGCCAAATACTGATCACACATACATGTACAGCAGTAAACACCCTACTTGCATTGTGCTAGCACATGTAATGATACAAGTCTACAACCCTCTATTTTTAGAAACATTGCAAATGATAATATATTATTAAATAGTATTTTAAGGTAATATTAAATGACACATAAATATTTTGTTTTGAAATAGTGGACTAAAACATCTAAAGAACTGGGTAAAATTTGTTTACAATATTACCAGTTATGATACCATTTATTCAAATTGTAAGTACAAGATTCTCTATAATGAGATTTCATAAAATTTCATAGGGAATCTAATAATAGAGTAAGACCTGCACAATAGTGGTCAATATACTCACGTGTCAATTACATAGGCATCGACACCATCACCAGTAGCATCACCTAGACAAAACATAATACAAATGTAATAATATCTTTATTACATTTTTAAAAATACAATTTTTCTATCAGTTTATAGCTATATGAATATATAAATGAATGGATTAGAAAAACAGGATGTCAATTTTATAAATCAAGTGAATATTCATTTCTTAAAATGAATAGTGTATTTTTCATTAAATAAATGAATTTCTGAAGATTTGTGTTGGTTTGGGGGGAAAATATAATATTGAAAAGTACCTCTTTTTGTTGGGTTTGATTTTTACATATTTAAAGAAAGTGTATTTCATCTTTTATGTCATGCAATGAACAATGTCTATAAATCTTATTTTCTAACAGTTTTTGGTTGGGTGTGTCTTCCTTTTTCAATAGTTACTAAAATTCTTTGTTTTGAATTTAACACAATCAATCAAATAATCTTCTAAATTGTAAACATATTTTAAATTTAGTGTATGTTCTTACTTTTTCATACACAACAGTGTTATATGACCATATGTTATATGGAAATCACAACTCGCACATTTCCTACCCTACACTGTAGTTGTAAGTTTGATAAAATAAAATTAAATTAAATATTAGTGTACATCTTTCACCCTTACAATTGCAAACATTGTTTGTCATTGCAATACTGGTGACTATGTTTTGAATACCTACGTGCATATGAGTAAATTCCATCCAGTCGTAAGGCACGCTCCGTAGTACGAACAAGACCCTGAAATAGAAATCACAGTAACATCAGAAACTGTTAATGCAATAGCAAAGTATGGGATGAATGAGTTTTGAGTTGAATGAGTTAGCAATTATTTGGAGAAACATCTTTCTAGTATAATGTAGTAAAAGAAAGTTGGCTAGAATATACACTGTGGATAGTTGATGAAATTAGAGAATTGAAACAATGTGCATTGCGAATATATTGTCACTTACCCATTCAGCATTTCGTTGATCAATACAGTTTTGTGACGCTCTCATTATCTGCAAAAAAGTGGGGCAAAATTGTAATTTTCAAAAAAATTCTCCAAAAATCCTATACATTCATCCCGTTTTACTTACCATACAAGTCATTGAAAATGACACAGTCCCCATTAAATTTTGGAAAGTTCTCTTTGTGCTCGTCATAATAAAGCGGAGTGCTTGTCGCGAGCGTGTCCTTGAAACTTGAGTTCCAAGTGGCGTATACAACAGATTGTTTATTTACATCAAAACACGAGTTCATTGTAGTAGTAATATGGCCAAAAATAAAAACAGCCATTATTCAGCCATCTTTGATCTGATTATGAAACACACTGATATGTATGATGTATGTGTACATAAATTGTGGAAATATAGCAGTAAGGCCAAAAAGTCAGATGGCTGTCAATCGGCCATCCTTGACCAGATTTTGAAACAAATTGTCATGAACATGCATCCTAACATGTATAAAGTACATGTATGTGCCAAATTTGAATGACAACTGACAAAGCATGTCCAAAATACAACATTTTCAAAAAACAAGATGGCTGCCAATCAGCCATTTTGAATCAAATCGCTAAACCACTGCATGTGCATATGTCCCACATAAAGTACTAGGCACATGCAAAGAATGAACAGAATCGGTCCAAGAAATTCTGAAATATGACTCTGGACGGACGCACAGATGCACGGTCGCATGGACGGAGACCGAATTATAAGTCCCTGTTTTCGGACTTCGTCGAAACGGGGACTAAAAATGTGGCAGAGATGTGTCACCATGCAGTACTTCCAAACCTTTACACCTTTCTAGACAGCCAAAACATGACAAAACATACCTCTAATATCAGATGCATGTAATTTTCTCAAAATGTACACCCTTTCACAGACTTGGTTTTTTTTTTTTTTTACACTAGAGATGAATTATACAAGTCCACCAGAATTAACCAATTTCATTGTCTTGAGTGAAGCTTGTAAGCAATTTATGAACATTATATTTATAATTTCAAACAATTTTGCACAAGAAGGAACCCTTTCTGGCAGCATATAGATATATCTACATGTATATACTGTAAAATACTTTATTTTCGCTTGGAATAAATTTTCGCTATTTTCGCTGAACAAATGATTCAGTGAAAATAAAATCCAGCAAATATACTTTTTTTTCTATATTTGTCACTGCTAAAAAATTACGATACTCATTGACATGCGAAATTTACAAAAATTTTTTCTCTTGCAAAAAAACAACAATTTATATTATCACGCAAGGTACGCTACTGGTAACAATTAACTCAACAAAAGAGAAATATCAGGTTATTAATAATGTGAAAAATAAACACATGAGCTTGCCAATGAAACAATACACAACAATATTTCTGCTTCAAACCATACAACTACACACCTGGTTAGCTTCAATGAATTCTATTTCCGGCATTTCTTGCAATCTCTTCACAGTACTAGATTTCATACAGAGAGAAATCGTTACTTTTATTCGGATGATGTGGAAGGTTTTGTTGAGAGTGATACATGTATATTATGTATAACTTGTGTTATAGTTTTCTAGAACATGGTTGGTTTGAAGTCGACGTGCAAGAGTCTTCAAGTGAGAACACATTCGCTCAACTGCATTGATGCATTATCCTCTAATTTATATGAAAATTTTTTTTTAATCATTTCTAATGAATAGAATGCATTTTACTTCATAAAGTCCCATGTATTATCTGTGTAACCCACACACAGTATTATCACATATATCTTAAAAGGAGGTTTTGTTTACCCATGACCTTGTATATATAATAACATTCGTTTGAATTAAATTGCATAATAACACAATTTACCAGTTTTCAATAAAATAATATAAGGTTATTACGAGGATACCTCAAAGTATGCACGAAGACAGTACAGCTGGATATCAAACGACGCGCAGCGGAGGTGGATGTGCGGCGTACTGTCTGAGTGCATATTTTGAGGTATTCTCGCAATAACCTTATTTTTATACATCTTTTCCTTGCAAGAATACACCATGGCAATCAAAAATGTTTAGAACAAAATCAGCAAACTACTTTGTATGGAGTCCGGTCAAACTCTGGCGGCAGCCATGTTTGTTTTTGTTATTAGAGGAAACTTACACGGGTAAATCATTCCATATTTGGAATTTTCATTTCCTAATATGGTAGGATGAAAATACCCTGTAAAAATTACAGCACGCTGTAACTTATGGCGTTACGATGACAGATGTATAATAATATAGCATTTATCTCTAGTTGAGTTATTTTCTATTTGAACTGCATCAATATCACACAACTCATTTAATAGTGAATAATTTGATAGCGAATCTTGCTTATCCATGAAAAACACAAAATCAAAACTGGTTCTGTGATTTTTTACACATATATAAATTCTATACTTGAAATAATATTTTTACCTTAGAGAACCTTGAAATGAATAACCCATAAAATGACTCATCTTGAATTCTCGTAGTATTTTAAAAGACGTGTTCTGGTTTGAGATGAGGCTATTGACATTCTTAAAGTGCTTTACAACTGAAACAAGAAGAGATTTGAATATTATTGCATCACATACAAAATACACTGTTAATTATTGGTTACATAAAAATAATTCAAATCACCTACACTGCTAATTATTGGTTTCATAAAGATAATTCAAATCGCATACACTGCTAATTATTGGTTACATAAAAACAATTCAAATTGCATACATTGCTAAATTAATGGTGACAAAAAAACAATTCAAATTGCACACACTGCTAATTATTGGTTATATAAAAATAATTCAAATCACATATATTGCTAATTATTGGTTATATAAAAATAAATTCAAATCGCATACATTGCTAATTATTGGTTATATAAAAATAATTCAAATCGCATACACTGCTAATTATTGGTTACATAAAAATAATTCAAATCGTCTACACTGCTAATTATTGGTTATATAAAAATAATTCAAATCGATCGCATACATGGCTAATTATTGGTTATATAAAATAATTCAAATCGCATACACTGCTAATTATTGGTTACATAAAAATAATTCAAATCGCATACACTGCTAATTATTGGTTACATAAAAATAATTCAAATCGCATACAATGCATGAAATAATTCAAATCACAAGTACTGCTTATAATTGGTTACATAAAAAAATTCAAATCTCATACACTGCTAATTATTGGTTACATAAAAATAATTCAAATTGAAGGCACTGCTAATTACTGGGTACAAAAAATAATTCAAACCACATGTACATGTTGTATGAAATGAATGCTATTTTCAAAACATAGTTTTAAAAAATATAATCCTGTACAAATAGTATCCCCATTTCTTCATAAAATATAAAACAAAAACATTGGAAAAATATTGAATGCTGCTCATTAATTTGATCTGATCATGTGGTTGGTGTATGAGTCATCCATTCAGACTGTCAATTTCTCATCTACCTGCTTCAACTGAAGTGTTGCTTTGAAATACCACAATGTATTCATCAGCAATCAATGTCTTTGAGTCTAATTGATAAACAGGAGCTGGAATGAAAGCAAAAAATAATTATAAAAATGTTATAAAACCCGAATTATCCAGAAGTAAAATATCAAGTATGAGAGAATTAACACTTCAAAGATGTAGACAATAAACACTAATCAAATTATTAACAATTATCAACGCATGCCACCAACAAATTAATTAAAGATCAATTGTTTTAAATCATATCAATCTAGATATAGAAGCCCATCTTCACTCTAAAATCAAGGTACATTGTACAACCTTTAGGGACGACGTCAAAAGATCGATGTCGGATAAAAAACTTATTTCCTTTAGTTTGGGGGTGGGGGGTTTTGACCTCAAAAAGTTCCCATCCTACAAAAACGATTTTATTTTTTAATGAAGTCAAAAAAATCTTGGAGTATTTTTAGTTCGTTTTTTCTATCCAATCATGGACAGAAATAACCGAAAAAAGGAAAAAAAAACAGAAAAATAGTTTGGTTCGAGTGTAAATCTGTACGTCAAATGAGGTGCATTTGTAAAATTTGTTTACACCCACCCGACAACCAACTGCTATGCAATACTACTGTCTGATTATCAATTTGTATTTAATGGTGAATGTAGTCTGACGCCATGACCAATATTTATCAATTAAGTTTCAGTGGGGGGTAGGGGGGTTCGGATAAAAAGTAAAGGAATTAAGTTTTTTATCCGACATCGATCTTTTGACGTCGTCCCTTAGTTGGTCAGTAAATAGAATCCTCTGTTGAATGAGTACTGAGAAGAAATATCAAAAATACAACTGATATACCGGTAGATACAGATTATATAAATTATAAAATATCCATATTAATCAACATTTGCCAAAAAACATATATATAACATGCTTATATCAGTATTTAAATAATAACTAATTATATATGTCTTATGTAATAATTAAATAATAATTCATTTGATTTTCTATTTCCATTATTTTTATTTTTTTTTAAATATATATTCAAATATGTAAATAAACAGTAACAATTAAAAAACAATAAGACTAGAATAAAAAATGCATTTTCAAAATAAACAAAAAAAATTACCGGTATATATATATAGATTTATTCTCCAATTATTTACAATACAATCTTGAAATCACCCCCCTCCCCCAAATAACCAAGCTCCTAGTTGAAACACTAATTAAAATTGAAATAACTAGTTGGGTGTATTGTACACACACACAGGTGATCCACCTACCTATCTTTCCACAGGTTCTTTACATATGCAAATATAACAAATTATTAGTTAACATATATGCTAAATATATGAAAATTAAAAACCATTTACATGTATATAGGTTTTTTATTTATGTGGAAAATTATGCTGTTTTTGATATGAGCAGTGTTCTCTCCAGCATGGTGGTTCATTTGCATAAAAATATGAGGTTTTTTTTAATGATATCATTAGCATAAGAATAACTTCCATTTTTTTTTTGAGAGAGAGTTTGAGCATGGTAAAGCCACTGAGCTCAAATATGTGAAATTTCTGAGAGAACACAGAGTTGTGATTTGATTACTACAACTCACAGGGTTCTTATGTTTGCTAATTATATAGTAGTTACATGCAGTATACTCATTGCATAGGCCATCCAGACTGAATTTACAAATTTCAGAACAAATCAATAGTCATGGAATCCGTATATCACTAAAATTTGGACAACAGAGTCTAACACCCACCTCCCCATCCAACTCGACCCGACCAGATAATTTATGTGGTGCCATTTCCTTGCATGTGCTTGTTCAACCTTAATGATTGTGCAATTGAAGTGGCCATCTTTGACTGGTGCCTGGATATTTCAAGAAACTAAATACCACCTTTGTATGAAAAGAAATAATTCTAATACCTCGCTTATTTGTAACTACTCACGGTCTCCGAGTTTGACTAGTGTTGAAGTAAAAATGAAAACAAAAAGCATTTCAATATATTTAGAAAAAAGGTCTGCTATTGGGTAGTAGTAATTAATGGGTGTTTTGCAATGAATTTAAAAAAAAACGTCTCAAATTCAAGACATCAGATACTGTAAAATGTAGCTGCAATTAAACATGTATCCATGACAACAAGAATAATAATTGTACTGATTCCGCTAGTAACACCATTATAAAACTGGATTGTGAATGATATTACGATTTAATTAGCTAATTCAGTGAATATCATGCAATGGTTATAGTTGTTCCTGTACACTGGCAATATGTACCAGTATATGTATTTTCCAAAGACATGTTTTTTTTTTTGAAAACCATGACATTAGAACAAGACTACACTCTGCACATAAATAATTCATTGCATCATTGCATCACAGCAACAGAAGTGAAAGCTGTCCAAGGAGTGACAAATAAAAATCCCCTTTCGAGTCCTCACATGACTGCTTTACAACAACGGCAAGTCAGTCAACACATAGCACTTTTACTTTCGTATGAATTGTTTCTGCTGTATTTGTATGGTCTATGCAATATACAAAACAAGAATACAGAGTTTACACTGCAGCCCCCTAATGCGATTTAATAAGAGCCTTCAAATAACCATAGTGTTCCGAAAAGGGGCTTATACAATTTAAATGGAGAAAGGTACTGGAGGGGCAGGGTTAGTATTAAAGTTACGGGTGAGGGGCCCCAAGGAAATCTAATATTAATTTTTTAGTAATCTGACCAATGTTTGAAGATTTTTTCCCCGAAAAAGTTCCAATATCTGGGAAAATTTCAGAGAAAATTAACCCATTTGGGCGGCACCAATAAGTGCCCCCCCCCCCTCCCTCCCGGAACCACACTGTCATACTTCAAGTTCAACACCATCCCATTGTCCCGAGCTTAATTTAGATTTCACGCTGGATACTTCTTGCTGGTCGTATTGAAAAATACTATCAAGGAAGAATTGTGTGTTTCGTGACCAGTCTATTACCTACAAAATGTTATCATTGACATTGAGCAGCCAAACGTTCACACCTTCATTCAACTTCAAGCGCACATGTATACAGACAAAATACCTACCTTTACCAGACTCGGCAACCGACAGCAGCGCAATACTCAGCAAGATAACGCGAAACATTCTGACAATACAGTACAACCTTGCAATGTCGAGGAGTTGTCAAAATACTTTTCAAGATACTAGTATTTTTCGGCCCAACTCGCGCCGAATTTGCATGCAAACAAACTTCCGGGTTACTGTGTCACGTGAAAGTCAATCAATTTCACAAGTCAGGTGATCACAAATAATATAATCAATAACTGCCACTGAGGGCGCTCGATTAGATACCGCTTTTGATTGTGACTCAAAAAAAAGTATTATACACACTGACTAAAATAAAATCAGACTAGTCACCGTCTGGTGTTACTCGACCAAACGACCAGTCTTATCGACTGCCAGTGTGCTTTTGATAAGCTTTCAATTATTGTTTCAGTAAACAAAACAAAACGTTGAATCGATTTCCACTAAAAAAAATGGTTGTATTCCAGGCTGATTGGGGCGATAACACTCAGTGTGAAATGTATAGAAGACATGGAGGAGAAAGTCAGTTGATGAGAATTGTGTGGGGTTTCGTACTGGTCAGAAGTCACTAGTGAATGACATGTTTGTTTGTTTGTTTGTTTGTCTGTTTACGGTAATATAATGTTGGACATTGCCTTTAATCTAATTTGTTATCACAATTGTTAAACAATGCCCCATCGCCCCATTCCCGCTTATACAAATACTTACACCCAGTACCTTGTGTTGTATTCAATTCTAAATGCCATGCACATTGCAATGAATGTTTTCTCAAGTGCCGTATCATTATTATATACCCTCTCTCCCCAGAGGCCAGTATGCCACGAGATTTGAACCAGTTTCACGACATATACACACCTGCGATAGCTCGATGTCCATATTGCGTTTTGAGGACCGTCAACGCTTCCAACTTCACGATCGAGCCGCTATACACTATCACAGCCCCTTTATCCACCGTCCCTCAGCAGAGGGACGGTGCTTTATCATATAGAGGAACTGTGACACGATACAACTTGTTGTCGTCGTTTGCGTGGTTCTGCATTTTTTCCAGGCTTCTCTTTTGCGCCCAAAGTACCGGATCGTCGCAATATTCTTCATTACTGGCTATGTCAGTAGCGCAAAATAATATTTTTGTCGATTTCAGTTGACAGGAATATTTAACCTTATTGTGCGGTATTCACGTTTGGGGCCTACTTCCAAACACAGAAAACCATGATATATCATATATTTTAGACAGGCTTGCCTCTATTTAAAACTACCTCTCAACAAATCATTGGTTAAATATAATAATATATTAATACTTTATGATTCAGGCATACTGATCAAATTGATGGAACGGTGGATTCAATTTATTCAACTTTAATTAAATACAACGGAATATAACAAGACAACGAGCGTACAGAATTCAGTGAAAACACAAATCTAGTGAAAACACCAATTAGCATATAATAGTGTAGTTTATTATAGTTAAATTACATGAATAAAAACCTGTATACCATTACTCATACATAACAAACACTGCCCCCAGTGGTTTCAAAAGTCACTAAAGAATTCGAAAGAAAACGAAATGTACAAAATTATGTTTAGAGCAGGATTTCTAGTACAAGTAAATGTGCCAATAAAACATGGTTACTGACAACAGTAGCAATTAGTAAGTACAGTCGTGGTAACATGAAACAGCATTCTTTTGTGATTTTTTGAGAAATGTTTTCTAATATTTAAAACAATATCAATGAAAACAGTGTTGAAGAAAAATTGTATTTTTTTTTACTTTTTAGAACCAAGATTTTCTCATAAACAATGATAATTCACGACAACAAAATATACCCCATGTGTTCACCCTATCCCACCAGCCTACAATTTGAGACTAAAATGTCGTACTATTTCCACCATAGTAACCAATAATAAAATGTTATAAATACGGACAACATTGGCGGCATTCACTTAAATTGAACCAACAAGTTGTTAAAGTTGATAAATAGGCTAGTGACCTTCAACTTTTTAATGTCAGTATCCTCGATATTGACTGCAAAATAAATTCTGGTTATTTTCATTTGTGTACCTTATATGAAGGTTCGCACCACTGGACCGCGACGGAAACTATTTTGAAAAGTGTTCGTGTAAACACCAAATTCAAACCATTCATTATTTAAGACAAAGAAATGATAATTTGTTGACAAAATGACCGATATACAAATACAAAAAAAAAAGTATATATGGTGCAATTATAGTCAATTGTTCATGCCGAACGTTACTCTTCAACTTGAAGTGCGCCAACACACGGCTGGTATAGTCCCCGGGTAGCCTGACACATTTGGGTGTTGAGATAGATACCCGATCGGCCTTCTTGACTGCAGTCACAGACAGTTATTTGATAATGTGTCTCACTCTTTGCAACAAATTCTTGCAAGGCACGATAGCATTTGGCGGGACACTCGGAAACACCGACATCCAAATCAAAACACTGGCTGTACAGAGCGAATATGTCCATCTGCAGCTGATCGTAACATCCGGGTATTTCTTGGCAACGATTACTCACAGTGTCACAGTATAGTCCCGGATATGCAGCAATCTGTTGATAAACATGGAAACCAACAAGTTTTGCGATTAGTAATTGAGCTCATTCGAATGTCAGCGTGGTGACGTCACTGCTAGATGAAAAGGAGGTACTATTAAATTGTTTTACAACTACTTGCAGGTCAAGCAGGAGGACAAGACAACAAGACAGTATTTGGGCAGTGGAAGAACTTGTTTTGAAAGTTCCACCTGAACCAAACACATCAAATACACAGAGACGGTTGAACAGAACTAGAAGACAGGGTATCCTCCTGGTATTTCTTTAAAATAACTTTAAAATAACAGTGTTTTGATTTTTGTCTACATTTTATCAAAAAGGGGAGGGGTAAATTTGTAATTAAAAATCAATAGAAAGAAGTTGTTTTTGATTTTACAGAACAGTCATATGTCCTACATATACAAGCAAAGTGCCCACATATAGCTATGGTGATGGTGAGAGACGTTTGCAGAAACTCGTCTTAAAATATTACCATTTAGTACTTCGGAATCAACGTAGGTTAACTTGAATAATACTCACGCGCGGATTTAGAGAAGGCGCGCCACCCCCTCTCTTCAGCCCGCAAAAAAAAGCTGACAAATCAATTGACAAACTCAGCCCATGTTAATAGGAGCGCCCCCTTACCGAATTTCTGGATCCGCCAGTGATACTGAGACTTATACGTAATCCATAGCATTATTTGTATCATTCATCTACAGTCCCTTGATCCCAGAGGGACTGTTATTTATCATATAAAGTACAGTACACTGTACTCAGTGTAGATGTCATCCAGTGTACATTTTCGCTACTGCATTTAGATTTTGCTCGTGCATCGTTACATTACTAGTACCCTGGACGATTTTAGACATGACTATTATCACAAGATTTTACGAATTCACTCGGACGGTATTAATCCGAGCCAATATGCCCAATGGGAAGTCGTTATGACCAAAGATAAACTGGAAACATGTTTAATTGTCGACAATTCAGTTTCAGAACAGGAAGTTAAAAACAGGTAATTAAAAACTTATTTTTTCGGTATTCGTATTGAACGCATACCATGGCCTACTGCTATATTCCTAGCAAAAACATTATTTTTAGTTCTGATACAATATCACATGTGTTTACTTTCGATGTTTCGAGTGATGGGCCTTATTAGGATACAGTAACAGTTATTTTTTTACTTATCCGAAATCTATGGCAAAGGATTGCGTCGGAATCACAAGTACTCCAATGTTCTAAGTAAGATGACGTCATCCATCCGATAATGACAATATTTGTAAGTTTAATGAAATATGTCGCTACCTCAGCACAAAGATAAAATGTTTTTAACACATTGCTTTTCTCTTCTCAACAAACGCTCCAGCATCCCCCATTCATTTTGTGTCTTCTTAAGAAACAAAGTGAAATGTTCTTTTCACACAAAATAAGTGTAACAAGACCGTTTAATTAGAAATTCAGTATCATTTGTACGTCAGTCTTTTTAAAATATGTATTCGAGACTATTAGTTTTCCACTCCTATTACACACTTCATATGTACATTGAAAAAAGAAAACTTTTTATTCGAAAATTGATTATAGATTATCGAATAATTGCGATTGTAGAGTAAGATTGTTTGAGTGATGGCTGTACGTTTGGCTGGCGTTTCAAATCATCAATTCCTTTAGCACTGTTTAAAATATGTCATGTATTATTCCGGACATACAAGCTACGTATTAAATGCTATAGGACGCCTGCAAATATGAGTTTCATCTATCACTGTAATTAACACCATGTTAACATGTGTCATTTCCTCAATAACAAACAGATAAACACACATCTTGTTGACAAAGCTGAATTATCGCCTCGAGGGGTTGGAAACCAATAGCATGCACAATAATACGTGGAGTAGGTGAAGACAAGTCAGAAACTTCTACTCAAATCGTAAACTTGAACAATATACGAGAAATACGAGAGCATATCCTTAACAATGTGATTTGAATGAGCAGTTAGCGTTTGGTGCGATTCAAATGTCATTAATGTCCCCAGTGCTACGGTTGATTTGTTTGATTCTTGTCAAACAATAAATAACATGAAATCTGACATAGAAAAAAAAAACACTGTTGGCTGATGTGAAGATACAATATTAGTCGTAATGTTAGTACTCACAGTTGTGCGGAGTAACACGACGAACACAGCTAGACAAATTATTCGCCTTCCCAATTGTTCCATGTTGTACAATGCCGAAGAAGACGATCGGTTGGATGCGTCCGTGCATATGATGCCAAAAACACTAAATGTATACTTCAAGTTGTGATGAATTTTATTCGCTAGACAAGGGCACTAAATAATTTTACGATCGTATTTGTCCCGTCGTATGTGGTGATTCAAAGGTTTAAAACACTGACGTGACCTCCAACATATATGCATTACATTTATTTTGATCCAACTCCAATTTCTTTCCGCGAAGTCATCTCAGTAATAACGTCACTTTGACAGGAACACGATTTATTTAGATTATTTTTAGAAGAGATTCTGTTGGCAAAAGTTCACTCACTGCATTGTTTTCGTAATTCTATCCTAACCAGCGTGACAATAACAAAATTATGTTCTGTCCCTGGAAGATTTAATGTTCGTGGTGATAGTCTGCGACCGCACATCTCGCTATTAAACACACTGTGTCGTGACGTCACACCATATAAAAGTCATATCCAACGCAGTTCATTGACCTTTCGTAATAAAGGTCTGATTGTTAATTCAGAGAACTCAGTGATTATACGTACATCAAGTTTGAAATGTAAATAATAAGAATTGTTTGATAAATGTATTTTAATTATGAGCAACAAATATATGCCACTACCTATAGCTCAATTCATTAAGACCAATCGAAATACTAGTCAGTAACTGTGTTTTAGGTTTGTAGATTTAATTGTGTTTTTGTTGTTGTTTTCCTTTTTTTATTTGTTTTGTTATGTATGACTCCTTTATCTTCTGCGGGAGATATGAGTTAACAAATATTATTATGTGTATTCCACGAAATATCTGGTATCACCTTGGTAACGATTTCACTCATGAGTATACTCTGTATGAAATAAAAAGCATGATTACATTTTCAAATAATGATGGATGTATATTTCAACAATTAAGAATATTAATGAGCTGCTGGATTGGTCGGTTACGGACATCGAGTTACGAGAATATCGAGTTATACAAATGACCACGCCCATATTTTAGAAATCACTCCCACTTTTGTGAAATCACGCCCAAATTGTATCCGATGTTCAATTAACAAAACTTCGAGTTACGAGCAAAATATATATATTTGTTTTTGTTGAAAATATTGACATTCAACAAAAACAAAAATGAACGTAAGCTCGAACAATTCAGCATCTCAATGTGAATACCAAAGTTCTTAGTGGATCTTCATATTATTTATATATATATTCAGTTAGGGTCAATCACCGTCATTGACCTCAATAGTCAAAAGGCAGACTTATGACGAAGATTACTATTCCGAACAAATGGTTCAACACTAGTCTACGACATGCCGCAAGTCAATACGTATTGTAATAGTTTAGTTTAATATTGTATACAAACCTATAAATAGGTGTAATTCAAGCAAGCAACGATTTTTCAATCCAATTTGTTTAACCTCAATTTATTCTTCAAGAAAGCAACAACATTTAACTCTTGCTGTATCCACAGAATCTTTCAACTTCGAAACACTCGTTTCTTCATATATTGTATAGTCATTCAATCCTATTGTACGGCATTAATGGTTCCACATCGCCAGTGGTTACAGAATACTCCTTGGCAAACGTTTGTCGAAACACCAAATTTATATGCATTCTATAACCCAATTTACAAACAAACGGTTGCTGTGAGGGTGTAGCCCGAAAAAACTTTCCCCCTAAAAAATTATTCTTAATTTCCACCATCGTTTGATACTGACCACACAAAACCACCCCTGCTTTACGACTTCAATGCTTGAAATAACTCCATCCACTCAAAAACTAATTGAACCTTTCAGCAGAAGTTTGTAATGGGAATTAAGGCTAATAACACCATGGCTTGCCTCTCATTAATTTATTGGCTACTTAAATAAATAGTTTTTCTAATACTGTGCGAATTACTGACTGTCACTGTGCTCACCATGAACAATAGAGGGCGGGAATGTATTAAATTATGTCCTTCAGAGCGTTTTAAGAGTAATTTGTCAGATTTGTGCTGTTTAATGCGATATGCTGTACACGGTAGGGACATTACTATGGTATAATAACGTATTGCCTCATTAATAATTAATAACACAGTTACATTTATTTCTGCATAATCCACAAGTAACCCAACATTAACAACATTAGCGTAAGTCATGTGACATATTTTTTGCAAAATTAACTCGACACCGTAAAGTCATGTTGATGATCACGTAAAATTTACTAATGGCAAATAATATGATAATACGAATTCTTGTAAATGTTCAAACAATTTCAAAGTTCCATGAGATAATAAATAAAGGTGCAATTCACGTACAATAATATACAAGAGTAAATACATCATGATTCAGTCCTTTTATGACTTCCTGAGTTTGTTTACCGCAATTGATTTTTTCACAAGACGTCTGACTTGTGTTTTCGAGACTGACTTTCCCTCGTGAACTTTGATGTCACTCGGATCGGTAATACTGATAGCTGGCGTAGATGTGGCAGTTGTCGGTGCAAGTACGACTGTTTTCTTTGGTGATCGCTTTACCACAGGTGATGTCGTCAACACTACTGGGGATTTTCTACCAGAACAACATGAACGTGGCGATGAAGATGGGTTACATACAGCACACACTCCGGTGACAGGGCACGTTGAGCTGGCTCTCGTTTGAACGCTAAAAAATAATCAGATGAAAGAAAATGAATGTACAATTATTGTTTATTCGTTATTTATTGCAGTTTGTTCAATTGGGACATGTAAAGCCATTTTGAATAATACTTAATTTAGATTTACCATGCATCATCGTCACTAACATGTCTTCGACGTCTTGAAATCATTAATGCTCGTTTCTTGCTTCGCACAGTACTCACTGCGGCGGTTGGTTCACTGTCATCTCGTTTTCTCTTCATTCGTGACGTCACAGCTGTTGTATCTATGTTAATTTCTGGTTTGGCAAGTTCACTTTTAACTTCTGACATGCTCTCAAATTCGGCTATCCTCTTTGATCTTTCCGATGGTTCCTCACTTGTTCCAACTGCCATCATGGTTTTTGCGGTGCGTTCTGTAAATTAAATATTATAATATTAGTATCTGTGGGTTTTCGAAAAATACAGATATTTTAATATATAACGAAATGTTCATAACAATTGTTCAAATATATTTTGTTAAAAACTTACTTCTTTTGGTCAATGTCTTTTCCACTCTATCCGCCATGGCATCTTCATCAACCCTTCCTCCTCTTGCATAATATTCATTAATCACTTCATGGTTCACCTCCTCTAATAATTGTTGTAAAGACATCTCTTCACGAGCGCCACCAATGATAACTTTGGACAATAACTTGGCATCTTTCAATGACACGTATTGGCCACCAGTTACGTGTGCGATAGCCATAAAGAAATCTTTGAAACCTTCAGCATAACTACCACAAACTACGCTGTATAAAGTGATGTTCTGTTCCGCCATTTGTCGTGCGATTTTCATTGGATCGTGACCAGCCGGACAACCTGTAAATATTGTGCATAATTATGTTAATAAGAACATAACAATAATGCATAATCTGATAGATTGAACTTTCTTCACGTTTTCGGATTATAAATAATTAGCTCACCTTTTGGGAATCCGTCACCGCTGTCACGTAACCCATGAGGAGGTGCATCCGCGATCAGTACACATACTTTAGTCGCTAGCGGGCGCCAATTGAGATTTAAAGCTTCATGAAGACCATCAGCGACGGCTTCTGGACCATCTCCCCCTGCAATGGCATGTGGACTTTATTTAGTAATTATTATTTACAATGAAATCATAGTCGTAAATAAGGAAAAATATTGATATTATGATCGACGGTGTTGAAATATATTACACAAACCTCCATTTGCTTTCATATTGTCCATTTGTTTCTGCATGTCTTTCAAAGAAGGCGTGAAATCCAACACACGAGTTACAAAAGTACTCTCTTGTGGAGGATGATCTCTGTACTCTACTAAGGCAAGTCGGATATCGGACATCTCCTTGGCAACGATTTCATCAACGATACTCTGAATATTCTGTATTGGGTACACAAAGCTTTATATTAGTATCATTTTTGAGTTTCAATGTCAACAAAATATTCCAAAGCATTTAAATATACTGTCATAGTAATATTTTATAGTATGTTAGTTTGGGGGTCATTCACCTTTCTAGCCTCATTGATCCAGCTGCCCATACTGCCAGTGCAGTCCATGACGAAAGCCAAATCTAAAACCGATGCATCGTGCTGTTTCAGTAAAGGCTGGGGGACAAAGTCGGGTACTTTGATAGCGCCAGGCATGTTGATATTAACGGGGTATTGTTGGGTTTCTAGTTCACTTTGCTTAGTTAGTACTTCACTGTCTGAATTCAGTTCAGTTGTGATTTAACTCTGATAGGCTACACGTCTTTTATAGGCTCTACCTACTATTGTGTTATTACCGACAAGCAGCGACGTGTTGGCCGAAGTGCCTGAATGACCTAAATATAGAACACTGACGTCAGTATTGTGAGCGTGTTTCGACTTGTTTGAACTCTAGAGGGCGTGTGATGAGAAGGTAAAATACAATGCACTGTACAAGGGTGTCTAGAAATACGTTATTGGGAGCGTTTAAGGTTTGGTACATGAGCAAATGGTTATTCGGGGTGTCTAAAGTGTCCCGAATAAAGACAAAATATAATACAGTTTAGTTTATGAGCATCATAATGACTTATTTCTATTCTTCATCGGATGAAGTCTGAATCTATGTATTGGGTTACGTTAGTCTGTGTTCGTCATTCAGGTTTCATTTCTCAGACATGGCTGGATTGAATTTGTGCACAGCTGGTACAAGTTATAATGGCGGCTGGCTACCATTTTTGTCATAGAAAAACCGCCCTGAATTAACATTTTAACATGTCATCCACTGCTCATCGTACATGCTTTGGTTGATTTCATTCAAACTTAGCATTTACAGATGTACATCATTTTGCTCCGTGACTCAATTAAGAATGGTCGACTGAAACCCATTTCTTTTCAAGTATTCTATCTATTTCTAAGATACGCATTAAAATATTGTGTTGAAATTTGGTACAAAGGCAAGACATAGTGGATTTCAGTTCTATTTGGAGTGTGCAATTTAACCGATTGGCCGCAAAGAAATTGAAAATAAAAAATGTGATTAGTTGTTGTAATGTTATCTAAACTTAGTGTGAGACGATGAGTTACTCATGTATGTCAGTTTGAAGTTCAAGTCAAAATGACCGATTGGTGGCCATGTTGGTTTTATTTGTCTACCATTTCCAATTTACCTCGACTGATTTTGTTCTAAACAGGCACAAAGATGAAATTTATATGCACTTTTGGATAGAACAAGTATTTTTATTTTCGCAATTTAATTTACTCGTCCTACACAAATTTCATACGCACACGAATGACCCTGTTTTCAATACTTAGTGGTATTTGTTGTGTCAGTTTCAATGTCTATGTAGGTTTTTATCGTCTAAAATATCCTGGTACCCCCGCCCAATCTCAGCCCTCCTCCTACACATTTTTTGAAAACACCCTTATAAAGTCTTTATGCGCGAATCACACAGTATTTTTGATTATGCGCCCTCTAGAGAACAAACGGGTTGAGACTCGCTTACATTAGTGACGTCCGTGTTCTATATTTAGGCTATTCACGTATCAGCTTGTTTGTAAAACACAATAGATCGAGTGTCAAGAGACAGCCAATAAAAGACGTATAGCCTGCCAGAGTTAAATCACAACCGAACTGACTTCAGACAGTGAAGTGACAACTAAAATAAGTGAACTAGAAACCTAACAATAACCCGTTAATATCAACATGCCTGGCGCTATCAAAGTACCCGACTTTGTCCCCCAGCCTTTACTGAAACAGCACGATGCAGCGGTTTTAGATTTGGCTTTCGTCATTGATTGTACTTCGAGTATGGGCAGCTGGATCAATGAGGCTAAAGAGGTGAATAACATGAGATTGACCAAAGAATGTCAATACATATCACGTGTATTTATCAACAGCTACTCTTAGTTTTGTTTATTTATTTCAACATAATACCAACATAATAGTAACAAAGAATTATACATCTATTTCAGAATATTCACAATATCGTTGATGAAATTGTTGCAAAGGAGATGTCCGATATTCGACTTGCCTTGGTAGAGTACAGAGATCATCCTCCACAAGACAGTACTTTCGTAACTCGTGTGTTGGATTTCACGCCTTCTTTGAAAGACATGCAGAAACAAATGGACAGCATGGCGGCGCACGGAGGTATGTAAAACATATTTCAACTTAACTTCAAAATGCTCACAAATACACGATTGGTAAATAATTAATAATAATTGAAAATAATATAATTTTTTTTCAGGAGGAGATGGTCCCGAAGCAGTTGCTGATGGTCTTCATGAAACTTTTAATCTAAATTGGCGCCCGCTAGCGACTAAAGTATGTGTACTGATCGCGGATGCACCTCCTCATGGGTTAGGTGACAGCGGTGACGGATTCCCAAAAGGTGAGCTAACTATTTATAATCCGAATTTTGTAATTAACTAGACGTGAAGAAAGTTCAATCTATCAGATTATGCATTATTGTTATGTTCTTATTAATATTGCACAATATTTACAGGTTGTCCGGCTGGTCACGATCCAATGAAAATCGCACGACAAATGGCGGAACAGAACATCACTTTATACAGCGTAGTTTGTGGAAGTTATGCTGAAGGTTTCAAAGATTTCTTTATGGCTATCGCACACGTAACTGGTGGCCAATACGTGTCATTGAAGGATGCCAAGTTATTGTCTAAAGTTATCATTGGTGGCGCTCGTGAAGAGATGTCTTTACAACAATTATTAGAGGAGGTGAACCATGAAGTGATTAATGAATATCATGCAAGTGGAGGAAGGGTTGATGAAGATGCCATGGCGGATAGAGTGGAAAAGACATTGGCCAAAAGAAGTAAGTTTTTAACAAAATATATTTGAGCAATTTTTTTATGAACATTTCGTTATATATTAAAATATCTGTATTTTTCGAAAACCCACAGATATATACTAATGTATTTATGTAATTCATTTACAGAACGCACCGCAAAAACCATGGCAATTGGAACAAGTGAGGAACCATCGGAAAGATCAAAGAGGATAGCCGAATTTGAGAGCATGTCAGATGTTAAAAGAGAACTTGCCAAACCAGAAATTAAGACAGGTACAACAGCTGTGACGTCACGAATGAAGAGAAAACGAGATGACAGTGAACCAACCACCACAGTGAGTACTGTGCGAAGCAAGAAACGAGCATTAATGCCAGTGATTTCAAGACGTCGAAGACATGTCAGCGACGATGATGCATGGTAAGTCTAAATTAAATATTATTATTTAAAATGGCTTTACTTCTCTTAATTGTTCACACTGCGATCAATATCGAACAAACAATAATTTTAGAATGTATACTCATTTTCTCTAATCTAATTAATTTTTAGCGTTCAAACGAGAGCCAGCTCGACGTGTCCTGTCACTGGAGTGTGTGCTGTATGTAACCCATCTTCATCGCCACGTTCATGTTGTTCTGGTAGAAAATCTCCTACACTGTTGATGACATCACCTGTAGTAAAGCGATCACCAAAGAAAACAGTCGTACTTGCACCGACAACTGCCACATCTACGCCAGCTATCAGTATTACCTATCCGAGTGACATCAAAGTTCACGAGGGAAAGTCAGTCTCGAAAACACAAGTCAGACGTCTTGTGAAAAAATCAATTGCGGTAAACAAACTCAGGAAGTCATAAAAGTAATACAGCATGATATATTTACTCTTGTATATTATTGTACATGAACTGCATTGAATCTAATTAAACTTTCAACTAGTTTGAGACATTACAATCAATCGAAAAAAAAAACGTCTTTTAAATCCTGTGAATAAATCAGTTGCAGTAAACAGACTACTTCAAGTAGTCATAAACGAAACATAATCCTTTGCCTTGAGATGTGTTTTACATACACATGAATTGACTTAATCTGATAATATCTATATCTGTTAGAATTAGCTTGGTTTTTACAGCAATCGATTACACTATAGTGTAATTTTGAAGGAATATTTTTTTATAAATTTAATTATTTATGTTGAAATAAATATATTATATTGCATGAATTGTTGTTATTATGCGTGCATGTTCTAGGCGTGTTTCACAGTAAATACAATTATGTTGTCATATTTCAATGTCATATTAGCATAAACGGCTACTGTATTTTACTGTAGTCTGATAAATCAATACCAGACTGTTACAATTTTAGATTTGTAAACTCCATGATTATCTCGGACATCTCTGGCACGATTTTATTCAAGATAGTTAGAAAGACAAGGTCGTGATATTATACACATGAACGTCGAATTGTTTTTCGTTCCATTGACCGTGACCTTTTGACCAACTGCAGGCGTCCACGTTTGTCCCTAAAACAAACCAAATCAGTATTTGGACATGTCATTAACCCGGCGTTCTCAAAAATTCCTGGATCGTTTTTATTCAAACTTGGTATTTCTATCACCAACAGATGCCTGTTATTTTGTTTCGAGTTTAATTAACAATGACCAACCAAGGGCCATGTTTATTTTCATCTGACCTCATCACAGTTGTAATTAGGAAGTTTTAAATATAGGAAACAGATAGATCATTCATGTATACATAATTACGTTTGTGTAAAGCTGCTTTGCACTGTCAAAACGTTGAAAGTAACATTGACAATTGAAACATACGTAGTGTCAAGTGCGTCATACCGTCGACATGTCACAGAATGGACAATTTACAGTTGAATTTACGCCCTGCAAACAACTATGTATAAATTGCTAATTAATATGCCGAAGAAGCACTGTGTTAATTGTATGCAAATGTGTACATGCCAATCAACATAATGTTCACAGTTGAATTATCCGAAAACATTCGCATCTATGTCGGTTGATTGAATGACACGTGTGTCAGTAATGGCCACATGTATCTGACCTTTCAATTCGTTAAACACCAACATAACGAAAACAAGTGTCCATGAGACATAACAATATTGAAGATTGATTTACTGCATTTAAAGCAACGCCATTCTTCAAATATATTTTATATATCTGATTTGTCCCTTATTGCCCCTAGTGTGTTTTTCTTGATTGAATTAGGATATTCGGATCCTTTTCTAGTCGACTAATTTTCTCATATAGGTACTGATGGGTACGGCTGACTTCAATAAAACTGTTTCCATAATTTTACTTCGACATGCTTCCAACACACACTCTAGGAAATAAAATGTTTTTTTACGTCATATTTATATGCAAAATATACATTGATATTCTCGAACAGTGTCTGAAAACTGTTCATTATGAAATTCACTATATATGTTGGATTTAATCAGGCATTGTGAATAAAGCAAACACGCATATACCCTATTGTACAGTAATGCATGTCACGTACTAAACTCAATGATAGAGAGTCATACACGTTTTGTTTGCCTCCCAGTAGGTTTCATACAACTAATTAGATATCCATAGACGAAAATGTTAGGGTAGGGGTTAATATCTCTAAAAACAATTTACAAAAATTGTTTTTTTCAATACACATACATAATATAATTCTGGCCAGAAAAAAAAACACATGTTCATAAACTAAATCTCCTACACAATGGATGTAAACAAAACACACACATTTTTCAGGTTTTCTACCAAAAAATTACATGTGTGTATCAGAGAAAAGCAATAAATGTTGAAGTACTTAATCGAGAGTTGCCCAGATACACAGGTCACATTTGACGCAATTGAAGTACGCCTACACATCACGTTTCGGATAAAACTAGGTAAAACACCCATTGGCCAACTACAACCATGTGATTTGAGGAATACCAACGCTAATGGGGTACTTGGTGGTGTAAAATAAATGTATCTTATTGCCTGAGAGCTGATTTTGTGACAAGCGCCCCCTGGAGAACAATCAGGTCGAGACACTCTCACAACAGTGACGTCAGTGTTCAATATTTATACACGTATCAGCTTGTTTGTAAAACACAATAGATCGAGTGTCCAGAGACAGCCAATAAAAGACGTGTAGCCTGCCAGAGTTAAATCACAACCGAACTGACTTCAAACAGTGAAGTACCAACTAAAATAAGTGAACTAGAAACCCAACAATATCCCTTTAATATCAACATGCCTCGGCTGGCGCTATCACCCGACTTTGTCTCCCAGCCTTTACTGAAACTGCACGATGCATCGGTTTTAGATTTGGCTTTCGTCATTGATTGTACTTCGAGTACGGGCAGCTGGATCAATGAGGCTAAAAAGGTGAATAACATGCGATTGATCAAAGAATGTCAATACATATCACGTGTAATTATTAGCGGCTATAGTTTTGTTTATTGTGTTCAAGTTAGCATTTCGATGGTATTCCACATAATAATACCCACATCTGTTCCAGAATATTAACAATATATTTGACTTGCCTTGGTAGAATACAGAGATCATCCTCCACAAGACAGTAATTTCGTGACTCGTGTGTTGGATTTCACGCCTTCTTTGAAAGACATGCAGAAACGAATGGACAACATGAAAGCAAATGGAGGTTTGTGTAATATATTTCAACACCGTCGATAAAAATATAATCTATTTTATTTTTTTCCTTACGACTAAGGTGTAAATAATGATCTGGAAGCCGACGCTGATGGTTTTCATCAAGCTACTAGTTTATAAATCTTAAATGGCGCCCGCTAGCGACTAAAGTATGTGTACTGATCGCGGATGCATCTCCTCATGGGTTAGGTGACAGCGGTGACGGATTACAAAAAGGTGAGCTAATTATTTATAATCCGAAAATTGTAATTAACTAGACGTAGAGAAAATTCAATATGTCAGATTATGCATTACTGTTAATGTTCTTTTAACATAATTATGCACAATATTTACAGGTTGTCCGGCTGGCCACGATCCAATGAAAATTACACGACAAATGGCGGAACAGAACATCACTTTATACAGCGTAGTTTGTTTTTTAATTGTTATCATTGTTGGCGCTCGTGAAGAGATGTCTTTACAACAATTACTAGAGGAGGAACCATGAAGTGATTAATGAATATCATGCAAGAGGGGGAAAACGAGATGACAGTGAACCAACCACTACAGTGAGTACTGTGCGAAGCAAGAAACGAGCATTAATGCCAGTGATTTCAACACGTCGAAGACATGTTAGTGACGATGATGCATGGTAAGTGTAAATTACTAGTAAATATTATTAAACATGGCTTTACATCTTTCAATTGTTCACACTGCGAACGCATACTCATTTTCCTTTATGTAATTATTTTTTAGCGTTCAAACAAACGGAGTGTGTTATGTATGTAACCCATCTTCATCGCCACGTTCATTTTGTTCTGGTAGAAAGTCTCCAACACTGTTGACGACATCACCTGTAGTAAAGCGATCACTAAAGAAAACAGTCGTATTTGCATCGACAACTGTCACATCCACGCCAGCTATCAGTATTACCGAAACAATCAAAGAGCGTGACATGTGGAAAGTTCACGAAGGAAAAACAGTCTCGAAAACACAAGTCAGACGTCTCGTGAACAAATCAATTGCGCTAAAAAAACTCAGGAACCCATAAAAGGACAACAACAAAATTCATTTACTGCTGTATATTTTTGTACGTTGACAATATCATTATTGAATCCAATGGAACTTATTATAGATCAATTACAATCATTCAAAACACGTCTTATTGAATCTCAGAATAAATCGGCTGTAGTAAACAAACTAGAGTAGTCGGAAGCAAGACAACATATATGTTTGCCTTGACACGTGTTTTACATAAATTTGAATCGACTCTACCCGATATATTCATTATATATTCAATTGCAGTACAATAGATTGAAATATAATGTACATTGCTTGTTATATTTTGAAGGAATAACATCTTTTTATAAATTTAATTATGTTGAAATAAACATATTGCATGCATTGTATTGATTATTTGTGCATACAAATATGTAATTAATTTATACATACTTACTTCCGGGCGATGGTCTTTTGCACTGCCTTTCACTGGTTTGAAAGTAACTAGACATTGGAATATACGCAGTTTTTAGCGCGTCATACGATCGACATATTGCACAATGGAGAATCTAAATGAACGCCTTGCTAACAACTATGTATAAATTGCTAGCGGTATGAGCTCACTTTTCAATTGCAATTCGTTGAACACAATGCAACGAAAACCAGTGTCCGCGAGGCAATACAATTGAAGATTTACTGGACTTAACTGCATTCAGGTTTTTTAAATGTATTAGATAAATTCTTCACGGACATCGCAAACGTGATTGGTGGCCAAAACGTGTCATTGAAAGATGGAGATGTGAGGAGATGTCTTTACAACAATTATTAGAGGAGGTGAACCATGAAGTAATTAATGAATATCATGCAAATGTTAGAGTTAATAAAGATGCCAGGGCGAACAAATTTACAGTGGGCAAAGAAGTCAGTTTTCAGAAAAAAATTATGTATTATAAGCAGTTCGTTTGCTTTAAAAATCTACAGATAAATACTAATATAGTACATTGTATTATAAATCATATAACTCGCCTGTGTTCTGTGATCGTCCCTTCAAAAAAAATGTTGAGGGGCGTCGCCCCTTCCAAAATCAAGCTGAAACCCTTTGTGTCAGCATAATTTATGTTTCAGAGGGTCTAGATTTAAAATTTTTCAAAAGAAGCATGCCTTCGTATCCCCTAGTAAGGTCGCGCGTTTGGCGAGAGGTTGGAGAGC